GTCAATTGACAGCTTGTCACAATGTCTTTGGTTTCACGGAGAACTCAGCCATGACTTCGCACTGTCGATGTGGTGCCGCAGAGGTTGGCGAGGTCATCACATGGCCAGGAGGACCTGTCATGTGCAATAAATCAAGCCAATGACTGGACAAAAGGGCTGTGAAGATTCAAGATACTTTTAGAACAAATTTAAAAGGGTACCGGTCATGAGAGAAACGTGTCAGCTTCCATTATTACCCTCCCCCATGCTAGTTGCCTATTTGCTGCCTTGATGGTCATGCTGATCCCTTGACTTCAATACTATTGCAAGCACTGGCCCAGTACAAGCCTGCAGTATATGACATCCATAAACAGTACTTGTTCCAGGTCAGAGACTCAAAAAACATTGAAGCCAGAGGACTAATATGGCAGCCACAGAATACGCAATGTAAAGAGGTCGGCCACGGCATTCTACATATTTCATTTAATATTTTCACTGCCATTTTTTGCACAAATATTAAAATGCGCATTTTAGCCCTGAAGATTGGTTAAAACCCCCCCAATGTTATATATTTTCGCTGATTCTGGAGAATAAAATGGTGGATTTTAAAATTATATTATTTTATTAATTCATAATAATGTATTGAATGTATTATTTTTATTGTGGATTATTTTTATTGATTTATTTAATAATAATAATAATTTTTTTTTTTTAAATGTTGTAATTTTTGTCACACAATATTAGGGCAACTGTTTATTAAACCCCTTAAAGCTGTTTATTAAAGCCAATCCCTCCACTGGCTTCCGATTGCGCAACGGATCAAATTCAAAATCCTAACACTGACATACAAAGCCGTCCACCATACTGCCCCGAACTATATCACTGACCTAATATCCAAGTACCACCCAACACGCACACTCCGCTCCTCACAAGACCTCCTTCTCTCTAGTGCCCTGGTCTCCTCCTCCCATGCCCGCCTCCAGGACTTCTCCAGGGTGTCACCCATCCTCTGGAACTCCCTGCCCCAACCCATCAGATTATCACCTACTCTCCTCTCCTTTAGGTGCACCCTGAAAACCCATCTCTAAAGGGAAGTCTACCCCACCCCCTGCTAACTTGGCGACCTCCTCCACTCTTCCTACCACCCCATCCCCCACAGCTATCTCCTCCTGTGCCACCATCCCCTCCCTCCTAGATTGTAAGCTCCAAAGAGCAGGGCCCTCGATCCCCTCATGTTTTGCATTGTATTGGTATTGTTCTGTCACATGTTCTGTCCCCCTTTGTAATGTACAGCGCTGAGCAAACTATTGGCGCTTTTATAAATACTGTATAATAATAATAATAATAAACCCATATTTTTAGTAAAAAAAAAACAAAAAAAACATTAAAATTCATTTTAGGGCACACAAACAATATATTATCCAATTATTTTGTTAAAATATAAAAGATGAGGTTGCATCAAGTATATAGATACTGTAGAGAGGGGAGAACCTTCCAGAAGGACAACCATCTCAGCAGCACTCCACCAATCAGGCCTGTATGGGTAGAGTGGCCAGACGGAAGCCACTCCTCCGTAAAAGGCAAATGGCAGCCCGCCTGGAGTTTGCCAAAAGGCACCTGAGGGACTCTCAGACCATGAGAAACAAAACTCTCTGGTCTGATGAAACAAGGATTGAACTATTTGGCCTAAATGCCAAGTGTCATGTCTGGAGGAAACCAGGTACCGCTCACCACCTGGCCAATACCATCCCTACAGTGAAGCATGGTGGTGGCAGCATCATGCGGTGGGGATGTTTTTAAGCTGCAGGAACTGGGAGACTAGTCAGGATTGAAGGAAAAATGAATGCAGCAATGTACAGAGACATCCTTGATGAAAACCTGTTCCAGAGCGCTCTGGACCTTAGACTGGTGCGACAGTTCATCTTCCAACAGGACAACGACCCTAAGCACACAGCCCACATAACAAAGGAATGGCTAGGGGGCCAACTCTGTGAATGTCCTGGAGTGGCCCAGCCAGAGCCCAGACTTGAACCCAATTGAACATCTCTGGAAATATCTGAAAATGGCTGTGCACCGACACTCCCCATCCAACCTGATGGAGCTCTAGAGGTACTGCCCAAAAATCGGCATGCCAAGCTTGTAGCATCATACTCAAAACGACTTGAGGCTGTAATTGGTGCTAAAGGGGCTTCAACAAAGTATTGAGCAAGGGCTGGGAATACTTATGTACACGGGGGGGGCTTTTTTGTTTTTTTATTTTTAATAAATTGCAAAGATTTCAAAACAAACTTCTTTCATGTTGTCATTATGGGGTATTGTTTGTAGAATGTTGAGGAAAAAATTATTTTAATCCATTTTGGAATAAGGCTGTAACATAACAAAATGTGGCAAAAGTTAGGCGCTGTGAATACTTTCTGAATGCACTGTACGAAGCTGGGCTCCTCAGGTACGAGCCAGTTATGGCAGACTGTGACAACCCAAAAGTAACGTAGCTGAGCAAAGTCCTTTGCAGTAGAAAACAAATGGACAAGCTCTTCAGAACACTAGCCAGTGTTCCCTTTCCTTTTCAGACTCACACCGACTATCAAGCATCAGGGGGGAGGAGAAGTTCCTCAATTCCCTAAATTCCTCAATGTCAGTACTCACAGACCCAGGGACAGAATGGTTGCCTCTTTCCAATCTTCCAAGCGAAACCCTCCAGTGATACCAGACTGAGCTTGGACAGACAACTCCCCTCACCAAGAACCAGGGTCACTCTCTCTAGCTTCAGGCCCTCAGGTCGACCCACCTGAGGCAGCATGGCAGCCAGTGCCAGGCGAGGCAGCCTTCCTCCAGCCTGGCTTGTTCAATCCTCTCTCGGGAAAGACAATGAACCCATGTGCTCACAGAACATAAATACCACTCCCAGCATGCAACGGGACTGCCTTCTCCTGCAATTGGCCAGGGCTGTATCCATATTCATGCTGCTCGTTTGCCTAGTTACCTCCTAGGTTCTGGAAGGCTCTCATAGCTTCCTGAAGGCAGCCAGAACTCAGACAAACTCCAACACCAGATCATCATCACAAGCAGACCTGACTAATCCATCACAGCACTCTGTTAAGCAGAGATTCCAATTAGATTTTCCTATCAGTCTTTCTGGGGAGCAGAGAAACACAGCTACACTATCCAAACTATACAAAATCCGAACACCTGACTAGGAGGGTGCTACACATAGATGTCAAACAAGCCTTATAATTATGTGCACTCATAAAATGGCAACAAGCTTCAGTACCCACAATATAGGTGACGCTTTTAAAGTCATTACATTTTTAATAATACATTTATGAAATGTATTATTATTTATTGTGAACTATTTTATTGATTTTTTTTCTGCATCTTTCTTTTTTACTGCTGCAGTTTTTTTATGTCACAGGATATTAGCGCAACTGTTTGTCAAACCCACATGACTCTGGAGAATAAAATGATGGATTTTTAAAAAAAATGTATTATATAATTTTAATTATTTTTAATATTACATTTATGAAATGTATTATTTTTAATGTGAATTATTTTACAAATGTTTACTGTTTTTAATTTATCTAATGTTTTTCTGCCATTTTTTTATATCACATGATATTAGCACAACTGTTTCTCAAGCCCGTATTTTCAGTTAAAAAAATATCTAAAATTCTTTTTAGGGCACACAAACCATGTATTACCCAATTTGTTTGGTTTTGGTAAATAGAAAAAATGTTTTATTATATTTTTATTATTTATGAAATGTATTATTTTTATTGTGAATTATTTTACAAATGTTTACTGTTTTTAATTTATCTAATGTTTTTCTGCCATTTTTTTATATCACATGATATTAGCACAACTGTTTATCAATCCCGTATATTCAGTTAAAAAAATATGTAAAATTCTTTTTAGGCACACAAACCATGTATTACCCAATTTGTTTGGTTTGGTAAATAGAAAAAATGTTTTATTATATTTTTATTATTTATGAAATGTATTATTTTTATTGTGAATTATTTTACAAATGTTTACTGTTTTTAATTTATCTAATTTTTTTCTGCCATTTTTTTTATATCACATGATATTAGCACAACTGTTTATCAAGCCCGTATTTTCAGTTAAAAAAATATGTAAAATTTTGTTTTAGGGCACACAAACCATGTATTACCCAATTTGTTTGGTTTTAATATAAAAAATATTTTATTATATTTTTATTATTTATGAAATGTATTATTTTTTAATGTGAATTATTTTACAAATGTTTACTGTTTTTAATTTATCTAATTTTTTTCTGCCATTTTTTTTTATATCACATGATATTAGCACAACTGTTTATCAAGCCCGTATTTTCAGTTAAAAAAAAAAATTTAAATTCATTTTAGGGCACACAAACCATGTATTACCCAATTTGTTTGGTTTGGTAAATAGAAAAAATGTTTTATTATATTTTTATTATTTGTGAAATGTATTATTTTTATTGTGAATTATTTTACAAATGTTTTCTTTTTTTGATTTATCAAATTTTTTGCTGCCATTTTTTTTATATAATTGTGTGCAATTTTAAAATGGCAACAAGCTTCAGTACCCAATATTCTCCATAGGAGACACTTTACAAGCCTTTACAGGTCATTAGTTTAGAAGTAACCTTTGCATGATGGCTCTAGAATTGTTGCTCACACTCATTTGCAATGATACCTAACCTGTGTTGCATTCATCAGTTTTGTATATGGCTGCACCGAACATGCATGTGTCATACAGTATGCATGTGTATGTGGGAGCTTAATATTTTTTTTTTATAATTGAAGATGACAAGTAGAGTGAGCAAATTATTCAAAAATTCGATTCGACTGATTCGGCGAACTCGTGAAAAATTTCGATTCGAGTCGAATATATTCGCTGCGAATTTAACTTATAAAAGGGTGTTTCTAGGCTTCAGAGAGCCTTTATATTAGTGCAGAACACTGTACCTTTAATTTAAATGCCCTTGGAGTCTGCTGGGGAAGAGAAATAATACTGACAGTCAGTATGACATGCAGATGAGTGCCGTCGATCTTAGAATCACCGCACACTTCACTCATTTGGGCAGTCACGGGGCCAAAACCAGAGTGTGGAGCCACAGTGTGGCGGTGGAGGCAGCAGCAATGGGAGGCCATACAGCACCCTATGACAAAAATGGAAACCACCAGCAGTGTGAGGAGACCTGAAAGTGGCACATGGCAGAGTGTGGCGATGGAGACAGCAGCAATGGGAGGCCGTACAGGGACCCATGACACACTCTGGACCTGGCAGCAGCATGAGGAGGCGGGGCAATGAGGAGGCGGTACAGGGGCCCATGACAGATTACGGGCCTGGCAGCAGCATGAGGAGTAGGTACGGGGGCCCATGGCAGATTACGGGCCTGGCAGCAGCAATGGGAGGCCGTACAGGGAACCATGACACACTCTGGACCTGGCAGCAGCATGAGGAGACCGGTAACAGGTACAGGGGCCCATGGCAGATTACGTGCCTGGCAGCAGCATGAGAGAGTCGGTACGGGGGCCCATGACACACTCTGGACCTGGCAGCAGCATGAGGAGGCTGGGAAGGCTCTACAGGGGGCATGACAGATTACGAGCCTGGCAGCAGCAACTTGGACAGGATGGGACGTTCAGCTTCTGCAGCAATGGGGGTGCCCGTGCTCTGCAAACTGTTGTCTCTTGGAAACGGATTCCAAGAAAGCAGTGCTGAGGAGACCTGAAAGTGGAGTGGCAGGAGATGGGCATCTGGAACGCAGCGGAATGGGAGGACAACAGGGGCCCATGACAGATTACGGGCCTGGCAGCAGCATGAGGAGTCGGTACGGGGCCCATGGCAGATTACGGGCCTGGCAGCAGCAATGGGAGGCCCGTAATCTGCCAGCACCCTATGACAAAAAATGGAACACACCAGCAGTGTGTGAGGAGACCTGAAAGTGGCACATGGCAGAGTGTGGCGATGGAGACAGCAGCAATGGGAGGCCGTACAGGGACCCATGAGAGACTCTGGACCTGGCAGCAGCATGAGGAGGCGGTACAGGGGCCCATGGCAGATTAGGGGCCTGGCAGCAGCTATGGGAGGCCCGTAATCTGCCAGCACCTATGACAAAAAATGGAACACACCAGCAGTGTGAGGAGACCTGCTGAAATGTGGCTGGCAATAAGGGGCAGTGTGAGGAGACATGGTTTGGGGCATGATTCATGGCGGATTTAGTCAGTTGTGTCAGGAACTGGTGGTTTGAAATCCAGACTAATCCACGCCTGATTCATTTTCACAAACGTGAGTCTCTCCACACTTTGGGTGGACAGTCGTGTCCTCCGCGGAGTTACAATACCTCCTGCCGCACTAAACACGCGCTCCGATGCCACGCTACTGGCCGGGCATGACAGCCTTTCAAGGGCAAATTCAGCTAGTTGGGGCCAAAGGTCAAGTTTCGTTGCCCAGTAGTCAAGGGGATTGTCTACCTCGGTTGGCAGGGTGCTGTCCAAGTAGGCCCCAAGCCTGTTGTTTGAGGTCCTGCTCCAGGTCCACCTGATGCTGCTGCTGCTGCGGCTGGTTAGTAGTTTCCTCACTGCGCTGGTGAAGAAAGCTACTCATCATCGACTGCAGACTGAGGCAGCCGCTGCTGGTGGAGCTGCCACTGCTCCTACCACCCCACCCCTCCCCTGCTGCCATGGCAGCGGAACGCGAGCGCACAGGGCCCACAGTGTCTGAGGATGGACGTTGGCGCACAAAGGCAGAGACCAACTGACTACATAGGTGGTTTTTATAGTACGTTATTTTGGCCTCCCTCTCAGCAGGTGTGAAAAAGGCCACCATTTTTGAACGGTAGCGAGGGTCCAACAAGGTGGACAGCCAAAAGTCATCCCTCTGTCTGATGGTTATTATTCGGCTGTCGCTACGCAAGCAACCGAGCATGCTATGGGCATTTGTGCCAAGGAATGCGAGGGACTCCCTGCCTCCATCTCCACAGCATACTGCCACGGTGCGTCTGGGTCCTCTGTCTCCTCCTCCTCCTCCTCTACCAGATGCTCCTGCTCCTCCACTCCTGTCCGCTGAGTGGAAAAAACCACCCATTTCACTCAATAATTCCTGAGCACAAATGTCCTCCTCTACCTCCTCCTCTTCTTCCTGTCCTGCCCCCACAGGGGTCATGTGGCGTTGAGATCTGTGCGCCACGTCTACCGCACCCTGACCAGCCATTGTTAACAGCATTTGTTCCAGGACGTGCAACAGAGGAATGACGTCGTTCATCCCATAGTCCTGCCGACTCACGAATAGCGTGGCCTCCTCAAAGGGCTGAGCAAGCGGCAGGTGTCACGCATGAGCTGCCAATGGCTGACATCGAAGTTACACAGGGGAGTACCTTTATCCGCTTGTAACATCAGGAAATCGGTGATGGCCTTTCGCTGTTCGTAAAGGGCGGTCTAACATGTGTAGGGTTGAATTCCACCTTGTTGCAACGTCGCAGATCAGGCGATGCTGTGGAATTCCGTTCTGCCGCTGCAGCTCAAGGAGGGTGTGCTTTGCGGTGTAGGAATGGCTGAAATGCATGCAAAGTTTACGTGACATTTTAAGGATGTCTTGCAGTGGGATGGTGGATTTAGGAACCGCTTGACAACCAGATTGAACACGTGAGCCATGCATGGCGCATGGCACAACCTTCCTTGACGCAGAGCAGACACCATGTTCTTTCCGTTGTCGGTCAACATGGTTCCGATTTTCAGTTTGCGCGGAGACAGCCATCTGTCGATTTCTCTGTTCATTACATGATATCTCAGAAGTTCCTCCCCTGTGTGACTACGTTCGCCAAGGCATACCAGGTGCAGCACAGCGTGACACCGTTGCGCCCTGCACATGTGATATGCCGGTCGGGTAATGGGACTTGGCACGGGGGTGGCGGCTGAGGACACGGCGGAAGAAGAGGTGGTAGAGGCGGACATCTTTGCCGGACCAAGGACGTGCAAACGTGGAGGCAAAAGCGGCGTGACCTGTCCAAGTTGCTGGTGCGGCTGTGACGGGCACCACGTTCACCCAGTGGGCCGTAAATGACATGTACTGTCCCTGACCGTAGTTACAGCTCCACACGTCGGCGCTGCCGTGCACTTTGGCAGAGACCGACATGCTCAAAGACTGGCCCACCATCTCTTCTACATGTGAATGCAGGGCTGGCACTGCCTTTTTGGCGAAGAAATGACGGCTTGGCACTCTCCACCGCGGCGCGGCACAAGCCATCATTTCTCGGAAAGGTGCTGAGTCCACCACTTGGAAAAGGGAGGGACTGCAGCACCAGCAACTTGGACAGGAGGACGTTCAGCTTTTGCACCGTCGGGTGCGTGCTCGCAAACTGTTGTCTCTTGGAAACGGATTCCAAGAAAGACTGCTGACGGAATCCGTGAAGAGGAGTAGCAGGAGAAGGAGCATCTGAACGAGCGGAAGATGCCAACGAGCGACAACTCCCCTCAGCAGAGGTGTTGGAGCCTTGACTGGCTGATAGAGGGCGATTGACGTCGGGTGACGGAGCAAGTAAACGGAGCGGGTGATGGAGCGGCGGGGGCTGGGGCAGGCAGAACCGCCGTATCTTTATCACGGTTTTCCCAGGCCACCAAATGGCGACGCTGCATATGCTGACGCAACGCTGTAGTCCCAACATGGGCCCCCTGGCCACGCTTGACTTTCTGGCCACATAGTCGACATACGGCTACGTTTACTTCCTCGGGCGGCTCGGGGCTTGACCTTGACAAAAAATTGCCACACCGCCGAGTAGGAAACTTTGCCCCCGAATACTCCTCACTGGCTGACTGCTACTTCCTCCGTGCACACCGGCACCACTACTGGCCGTGGTGGTAGGCTGCAGTGGAGCTGGTGCTCTACTCCGTGGCCGTTTGCCCTCCACTGACACTGCTGCGACCCTGCTGCCTCCTGGGCAACCCACCGACTGTTTTGCTCGCTGCCAAGCTGCCACCCTCTTCTCCTGATGATGCGGAAGCAATAGCCTGATGACGACGAGGGTGCCAAGTGCGATCAGCCTCATCATCATCAATTAGGGTCTCCGCCTCACTACTAGCCCCCTCGGCTGTGTGTGGGTCAGGAGACAGACCTGTCTCTAGACCGGCTACCGAGCCACTCTCCTCGCCACTACTTCTTCGCCTGGCTGCTGAAGAGGCGGATGTCTCCCCCCGTTCCTGACCGCCCTCTGTTAGCTCTTCCTCACTGTACAGTGGGGCTGAGCCCACAGCATGCGATACTTCGCTTGGTGAGGGAACACCAAAGGACAGGGGCAGGTAGAGGACACGTGATTTCAGTGGGCTTGCTCCCGGGCCATGCCAACTAACGGTTGTGTCTGACGTACCCACCGACCGTTGGCTGTAGGTGTCAGAGGTGACCTGGGAAGAGGAAGACGACCGAGCCAACCAATCGATGACGGCAGGGTTGTCGGTGGAGACACGACCGCTGGATGACACCGGGAGCACTGGCCTCTGGCTGCGACTAGTGCTGCCTCGACCCCTTCCTCTGCTGCCACGTCTGCTCGCTCCTAAAACATTGCCTCCTCTGCCACTCCTCTGCATGTTGTCTGACATACTCTTTAATTCAACGATTCTGTGTCCCTGAGTAACAATTCTGTGTGTCCCTGAGTAACAATTCTGTGTCCCTGAGTAACAATTCTGTGTCCCTCAGTAACAATTCTGTGTCCCTGAGTAACAATTCTGTGTCCCTGAGTAACAATTCTGTGTCCCTCAGTAACAATTCTGTGTCTGTCCCTTAGTAAACAATTCTGTGTCTGTCGCTGAGTAACAATTCTGTGTCCCTCAGTAACAATTCTGTGTCCCTCAGTAACAATTCTGTGTCCCTGAGTAACAATTCTGTGTCCCTCAGTAACAATTCTGTGTCCCTCAGTAACAATTCTGTGTCCCTGAGTAACAATTCTGTGTCCCTGAGTAACAATTCTGTGTCCCTCAGTAACAATTCTGTGTGTCCCTCAGTAACAATTCTGTGTCTGTCCCTGAGTAAACAATTCTGTGTCTGTCGCTGAGTAACAATTCTGTGTCCCTCAGTAACAATTCTGTGTCCCTCAGTAACAATTCTGTGTCCCTCAGTAACAATTCTGTGTCCCTCAGTAACAATTCTGTGTCTGTCCCTGAGTAACAATTCTGTGTCTGTCCCTGAGTAAACAATTCTGTGTCTGTCCCTGAGTAACAATTCTGTGTCCCTGAGTAACAATTCTGTGTCCCTCAGTAACAATTCTGTGTCCCTCAGTAACAATTCTGTGTCCCTCAGTAACAATTCTGTGTCCCTCAGTAACAATTCTGTGTCTGTCCCTAAGTAACAATTCTGTGTCTGTCCCTAAGTAACAATTCTGTGGCACTAAGTAACGTTTCTGTGGCCCTAAGTAACATTTCTGTGGCCCTAAGTAACGATTCTGTGGCCCTAAGTAACGTTTCTGTAGCCCTAAGTAACGTTTCTGTGGCCCTAAGTAACGTTTCTGTGGCCCTAAGTAACGGTTCTGTGGCCCTAAGTAATGGTTCTGTGTCCCTGAGTAACAATTCTGTGTCCCTAAGTAACAATTCTGTGTCTGTCCCTGAGTAACAATTCTGTGTCCCTAAGTAATGTTTCTGTGGCCCTAAGTAACGTTTCTGTGGCCCTAAGTAATGGTTCTGTGTCCCTCAGTAACAATTTTGTATCCCTCAGTAACAATTCTGTGTCTGTCCCTGAGTAACAATTCTGTGTCCCTAAGTAACAATTCTGTGTGTGTCCCTGAGTAACAATTCTGTGTCCCTAAGTAACGTTTCTGTGGCCCTAAGTAACGGTTCTGTTGCCCTCAGTAACAAATCTGTGTCCCTCAGTAACAATTCTGTTTCTGTCCCTAAGTAACAATTCTGTGGCACTAAGTAACGATTCTGTGGCCCTAAGTAACGTTTCTGTAGCCCTAAGTAACGTTTCTG